TTATTTTATATATAATTAATTACTGTCGAATTTCCTGTAAAATTCGTTCGTTTTTTTTCTTATATAATTTTTATTAATAAAAAACGAGGAAAAAACGAACAAACTTTCATCTTATTCTTTTATTATTATTGTTTCATCAATATTCTCAGCCAGTTTCTTAAAAGATCCGTTCGTTTTTTCGCAATATGACTTTTGTACGAATAAAACAAATGAAAAAACGAACGAACTTTTATACTCTCTCACTTAATATTATTTATTATAATTATACATTAAACGATCTAATACTATGGAATTCTTTACAAAATTCGTTCGTTCCTTGCCACCAATTGTCCAATATAATCCTTATGTAGATAAAATTAAAAACGAACGAATGTTTACCGATCTTACATTATCATTAATATTGATTGAAACGCGTGCCACAATATCACTAGATTTTCAGAAAATTTTTCCGTCCATTTGTGTTAATAAGTCAAAATGGGAGAAAGCTACAAGACTTTCTTTTACATCTAACGAAAATTTCATGAAAGGGATTGGAAGGGAAATGAATTGGAAAAAGAAGAATCGGGTAAAAGCGCGTGTAAAAATAAATGGGCAGAAATGGTGAAAATATTGAAACTAAGAGTTACTAGCTTTAATAATTTCGTCCCCCATTGTTTTCTGATCGTCGTCGTAAGTCTCACAAGCGTCGTCTATTGTCTTCTCCGCTTCCGTTTCCATTTCTTTATCATCGTTGTCTGTCTTATCAGCGCTATATTCCTCCTGCTTATCATAATTGTAAGTTTCATTATCCACAACACCCTCTGTTGCCTCCTTCGTTTCTTCATTTTCTTCGGCCGCTTTATCAACTTTATCTCTCGTCTCTCCTCCCGCGTCTTCCAGTTTCTTATCATTGTCGTGCGTCTTGGTATATTCCGTCTCCTCCTTGTCTGGCATAATCAAGTCGTAACACATAAATTCCCCATCTCGAGACTGTTCGTTGTTATAACTTGGCGTGTCGTAACATGGTGTCGCAGTAGGTGCGTAAATGTTCTCCAGTTGCTCATACTGGTCGCTACTTTGGTGACTAATCTCCGACATGCTCCCCTTACTGGCATTCTTCGGGAATAATTCATATTCATACTTCATTCTTTCCTCCTCGCGTAGTTGTTCATTTTTTTGCATATCATGTCGATCTGGTTTGTTCATAATGTCGTCGGATTGTTCGTCCTCCTTTTTCTTCTCAAACAAATAGATAGGACGCTGGAATCCTCTGAAAGGATGGGGCGGGATGTTGACAACTTCGCACTTAAAGAAGCCTATTTCGGAAGACAAGAGATACTGCGTGAAGTTCTGCGGGCGGAACTCGATGCTGCGGAAATTTTTGTAAATTCGCTCCTAGAAAAAGAACAAAAAATTTGCCTGAAAATCACAACGCGGACGATGCAAACAGAAATTGCATTTTCGCACTTACAGTGAGATTCTTCTTCTTGGTGTAGCTATTCCAGGCTTGAGGTTCCAATATTAGTACACCGCCAGGACGTAATTGCGCGTACATACGCTTAAATGATTGCTTCAGGCCAGCGTCACCAAAATTCAGGTGTATCCATTTAGTAATAGAGAGACACAGGATCGTATCGAATTGTGGTTGCTCCGCGTGCAAAAGAGCATCATCATCCAATACGTAATTACCCTGAAATTGTTTAACCTTATAGAATGTAAATACGAGATTGTGTTACGCGGAAATTAATATCCCCACAATTATAACAGATACTAAAAAGAGAGAAAGAACATTGCACGTCGTAACTATAACTATTGAAAGTGACGAAATAGGAAAAACCAGACATGATGGCTAAAAATGATCTCGAAAATGTGCAACTATTTCCGAGCACTTCATTACACAATTCAATATATATACCGATGTTATTAATATTCTGTATTCTTGTTTAAGTATTTTTGAATGAAACATAGATATTCATGTATTATAATTTTAAATATTTGATAAAAAAAAATTACATGCTTTTTAATCAACAGTCATAATGCAGAAATATTTAAATAGGATTACACAGATAGCGAATGCAATTCGAAAATACCTAAATCGGAAATGAAAAGCATTGATAATACCCCTTGTGCAACAGTTTTAAAGACTCGGGAGAAAACGATTTTTCTAATTTTTTTTTCCACGAAATTTTTCGGTTTCGATTACTTGGTGGGTGAATAATTTGTTTCCATTAAGTATATTGAAAATTTGAGTCAGAAATTGAACTGAGCTTTTCCACCTGACTCAATATATCAGAATTAATGATCATATTTGCACATCTTACTTGAACAAACGTGACATTGTAAGGAAACACCATGTCTTGTTTGTGCTTCGTGAATCCCGGAATGTCTATGGGGCCGTAGTTGATAGGCAACGACTTGGGGAAGAAATTCGCGTCCGAATCCGATACCCTCCTGTCGCTTTCCTCGTTACTCGCCGGCGATTGCACACAATTTACATAATGTTTCACGTTTTTCCGAGCAATATTGATCAGTGTCCTATCAATATCAATTCCCGTGACGCTCTTCGCTCCAAAATCTCTCGCCACGGATAAGGTGATGTGTCCAATATTACATCCGATGTCTAGAATATCCTTCTGCAGGAACAGCTCTTTACGTCCACTGAACGCTTTAAGTCGAGGATCCATCTCGTAATGAGGATTTCTGTACCCATAATACCTATTCAGGTAAAAAGAAATAATTAAACATCCGTCGCACGATCGTTATGTTTGTATGCTTAATTACAGAAAAATGAAGGCATTAATGACATGTAGTGAACATCAAAAGACCTGTTGTAGTTGCCATATTGATAGCGAGCATCTTTCTGCCTGAAGTTTGGCATTGCTTGCTGCTGATGCTTCTTCTTTTTGTCCTGGCTAGGCCTGTGCTGTGCTCGAGGCTTCCAGGCACCTGGTTGGGGAATCACAGGACTCACTATCTTATCCTTGGTGTCCTGAATTTCAAAGATAAATAGATAATTTTAATAAATGCAATATGATTAAAATATTCAAGTAAGAAATGTAATCCGTTTATTATTGTATTTCACTTTTCTAATAAATAAATATAATTAAAGTTAACGCAAATGAAATAATAATTAGATTAAAACTCATTACCTTGCGTAGTCTTTTGTCTTTGGGTTCTTCCAAACCCTTCAATCGCAGTTTATTTTTGTCTTCTCTCTCCAATTTGTTTCCTATTTTCCCTACGTTCCCCTTACTTTTATCCTTCTGAGGACTCTCCATTTTGTTTTCTGTAGAATTCTTGTCCTGCGCCGTTTCGGAATCCATCGGCTGGATCCTTTCGCCGGGGTTTTCCGTCGAACTTTCTACTATTTTACAGAGTTCTTCACCGCTCTCCTTCAAACGTTTATCTTCCATGGTTTCACTCGTGATCTCCTCTTTTGTCGAAGACGAACAGGCTCGCTTTCTTTTCTTATTTCTGCGTTTAGAAGCTTTTCTCAACGGGCAACACACACATTGTTGTTCGTATTCTTCACTGTCATATCTTAAACGTAAAGGATCCTCGATATTAGGTGGAAATACGTCTATTGTCTCTTTCTTATGCTTCGGAGTGGGAAGGGGGCTAGATTTTGGCGTCACGGCATTCATAGCACGATTCACTTCCTCATCTTGCATACTGTTCAAATTCAGAGGATCATGAATATTGCCACCTGTGAAATAATAATGAAACAAAGTGGACAAAAATCAATTAGAAATATATTATAATACGTTTGATTTGGCCTCCAATTTAGTACCGTGTCCTTCGTGAATTTGTGCACAATGCTTCGTAAACATTCTAGTTCACTTCATTACGCACAGGAACTATCTGGAAGTGTTGTTTCTTTTCCAAGATTTTTCAAGACGTTTCTTTTTCCGAAGAAATAAACGGGAACCTAGATAGATATATTTCAGTATATCGTCTGCATCGTGACTAACATAAGTACGTTAAGATGCGTCCTCATACGAGAAGTATTTTATGCAGTATATAAAAGACCATTTAATGCAAAAATGTGGAAATTCGGCGGTAATATTCCGATGTCATAAATATCGCTGCTTATTTTGCCCGAAAGAGAACGCACAGATAACCGGAATTATTGTAGTGATAAAAAGTTAACGCTTGGATTAAAATTATGGCGTAAGAAATGATAATATTTCTTAAAACAAGCATATTTCAGACATGTGTATTTCAAACTATTATAGTGGAATCACAAAGCTTACATCAAATGTTTGCACATTAAGTTTAGCATTTTTGTCTACCTAGGAATGTTCACGAAACACACGAGGTCTGTTCTGGCTGCACTAGTTCAAGAAATATCCACACTAATAGCGAATTCGGTTACTTGCACTAGTGCGCACTAAGGCCTGTTCATAGTCTGTTATTAAGTATGTTCGTTTTCGCTGCACCGCTAAACTAGTGTAATAAGTTGAAGCGAGACAAGAGGTCTGTTCGTTTTCGCTGCACCGCTGAACTAGTGCAATAAGTTGAAGTGAGAAAACATATACTTGTCTCACTTCAACTTATTGCACTAATTCAGCGATGCAGCGAAAACAAACAGGCCCAAGTATATGTTTTCTCATTTCAACTTAATGTATTAGTTCAGCAGTGCAGCGAAAACGAACAGACCTATTATATTTAATTATATTTAAGAATTATCTGAAATACATTTTCAAATATTTTGAACCAGTAATATGATATGTACAGCGTCCGTACGCATGATTTTATTAGCCAAGAAGTTTTTAAATATGTATTTAAGACACGATCTTAACTCTCACGTTGACTGCCACGGAACTTTTTACGATTCTGGTCTAAGAAGCCAATTTGATTTAATCAAGTAATGAAGCGACGAGATAACTCGTAGTTGGGCAAGTGAACAACTTACGAGATATCTCGTAGTTGGCAGTCAACGTGTTAAATATAAGAATGTACCGTAAACAAGCTTTAGTGCGCATTCAGTGCACATTAATGCAAGCTACCGAATTCGCTATAAATATGAGAAATCTCGTACGTACGTTTTATATACTTCAATGTGTGTGTAAATTTCTTGAACTAGTGTAGCTAATTCAGCTAAAAAGAATAGACCAATGGTAAACAAATCTATGAAAGACACAACATTAATCCGGAAGCCAAATCGAGTATTTTTCCCCATTGCAGATACCTAAAATATTGGTTTACATTACAATATGTATGAGAAAACATAACAATTGCTATCCACCATACGGCAGTTTTTATGTTATGGGGTCTGTTTTCTATTGCTGCACTAACTTGCACCTTTTCTCTTTCTTGAGATTTGGCGGGAAAGAGAAGTGCAGTCAGTGCAGCAATAAAAAACATAAAGTCTGTTCGTTTTCGCTGCACCGCTGAACTAGTGCAATAAGTTGAAGCGAGACAAGTATATGTTTTCTCACTTCAACTTATTGCACTAGTTCAGCGGTGCAGCGAAAATGAACAGACCTGTGGTTCCTGCACACAAGTCCGTATTCTGAACTCTCTTTTATCGATAAAAGTGCCTTAAATATGGCTTCTCAGCCAATCAGGTGGTTCCTAAGCCACTTTTAGAGGCACCTCTATCAATAAAAGAGAGTTGAGAATACGGGACATTGTGTCTATGCATGAATTAAGGCCTATGCACAATGAAAAACCACAGGCAATAGAAAATTCCGAGTCTACAATAAGTGTTTTAAGACTTAATCCTTAAGAAATTGACCGATCACAGTCGAATGTGAGGAGAATGATCGATTGTGGTTGCTTTCGAGCAAGAGACGCAGATCGACACAAGTGTAGTTATATCATCTATTATCCTTTTCTTTAAGCGCGAAAGAAGGACAAAACAATGATATAACTAGATTTGTGTCGACTTGTCTCTTGCTGCAACCTGTGATTGGTCAATTTCTTAAAGCTCAGGACTTAAAACATCTATTGTAGACTTAAAACGTGTATTCTAGACCAGGACAAATAATGGCGTTAGCACACAGAACACGGCAACGCTTGTTCGCGCGATAGCCAATCAACGTGCTGTTTTTTCATAAGAACTAAAAACTTATTAACTGCCGCGTCCTGCGGGCAGAAACCATCAGCGTACCATTTTTCCGATCAGATTTCGTCGGTAACTGCATCGGTAACTTCATCGAAACGGTCCATCGCTTGATCTGAATAAAAATAATCGGTTACATCATTTAATCGGTTTATACGATAGACATTTTTCTCAGTGCTGTCGTATGTAATTTCTCATGTAATTTCTCATGTAATTTCTCATTGTGCGTAGGCCTTTATACTTCTAGGTGCGCCCGGGTGGGGAATCGGAACACAGCCTAGCCAATAAACTTCTAGTACTTTTGTCATGAAAAAACGACAGGTCGATTAGTTTCCGCATTCTGCCGCGCGATAAGCGTTCCCGTTTTCTGCGTGCAGGAGCCATAAACACTCTTTCCGCTGAATCCAGCCATTCACCCGCACGTGCCTTTACAGCGACAAGCCGGCGCACTGCTCTGTATGTAAATGAAACACTACGTATACGCCGTAACCGCCAAACAAAGTCTCGTGTATACCGTGTTCTTAGATCTTTCCTTAATTCCGTAAACCCGGAGCTGCAATAGGTGTAGTAAGCTTTAAGCCGTAAAAAATTGATCAATCGTAATCGATTATTCCTCTCGTATTCAATTATGATCGGTCAACCTTTTACGGCCTAAAACGTAGTCTACAATGGGCAGTAAGAGTATGTTCATAAGAAATAAGAATAAGAAATTGATCAATCATATTCGAATGTAGGGAAAATAGTCGACTGTGATTGATTAATTCCTTACTCTTCCTTCATATAAACACAGTCCTACTGCCTATTCGAGACCCCGCTTTAAGCGGAACCAGAGCTTAAGCAGCTATTGTAGACTGGAACTTACAAGCCTAATGGCAAAAAATAGTGCAATCTCGTTCAGTTAAAAGAACACATCACTTGACACACGGCGATTGCACTATGAAGATTGTTTTCCAGCAGGAGACACAAATCGACACAAGTCTAGTTGTATCATTGTTTGTCCTTTCGCACTTGATAAAGAATAGGATAATAGATGACATAATTCCACTTGCGTCGATCTGTGTCTTGCTGGAAAGCAAGCGAAGTAATCAGTTAAAATGCAGCGTCAATGCTCACAGGTTTACTTTTGTTGACTCATAATCGTAAGAATTGTCACGTACCTAAGAGAAATTTCGTAGGTGGGATAAAGTTGTTGCCGTCCTTCTTACGTCGTTTATAAGGTGGGAAAAACTTTCCACTGTTATTGCTTTGCGAACGCTTTCGCCCAAACTTGAAACTTGTGAAAGAATTCCCGCCGCTTCCGCTTCCTCCTACTCCACCAATTCCTCCTCCGCGTCCGTCATCGTGTTTATTGTGCTTCTTATACGACAGATTAAACTGTTTTCTGGATTTGTTGCTGTCACTTTCCTTCTTGCTGTGTGGATGATGACTCATTTTGGTCGGTCGATCTACTTGTACGGAGGACATTTTTTTTAATCTATAAAAAGAAAACGAAAAATTCGAGATTAATCAATCTTACCATAAAGGAAATATTTTTTTCAATGGAGACATTTTTCTCTCATTAAATTTGGACGCAAACTAAAGATGGAAATTTATCGAAAAAAAAACGTATTAATCTATTATATGAGAAGGGAAACGAGATAACTAATTTAAAATGTTTAAAATTAAATCTTTACTAATTAATTAGGGATGTACAGTGCTCGACAGAAAGGTTGTGACGCTTTTTTTTATGAGTTTCATAATGCATCTCGTATCCAATAGATAAATGTATCTTCGAAGAATAACTAAGAAATAAATTCTCCTACTGGATACGGGATACGTTCTGAAATTTATCAAAGAAAAAGTATGGCAACTACTCGTATACATAATTTGTGAGTGATATACACTGAGTTTTTTCGTAAAAGCAGTACGCTCACTGAAAATGCTCAAGGAAATCTAAATTAAACAAATTGGATTATTAAATTGAAAGATACGAAAAATCTTTCAGTATTTTTAGGTTTTTTTTTTTCATCAAATAACATGTTTTTCTTCAACGAAATTACATAATTTTTATTCGAAAAAGTAATATTTTGTATAAGAATGTATCATTTTAATTAAACAATCAATGTTAAATACATAGGAATTACATTTATACATTACATTTATAGGAATTTCTATAGAAAGTCTATAGAAATTTTCCTTTGAAAGTCCTATAGCATATTAAGGAATATTTGAAACTTATTAATATTTTATCATATATCTCACATATTTTATCTTTTAATATAATAATAATTGCATTTAATTGATATTTGAACTGAATATCATATGACTATACAAACGTGTCCATTTTGGGGAAATCTCAGAAGTATCCACAAATGTATATCTTATGGGTGTCTTATAACGTTCATGGATATTCTGACATGAAATAGGCATAAAACAGATATCCATAGGATATCGTGTGCTGTTTAGGTATAAAAATTACTTAAAATTAAGTTTTTCCATTGGATGTCAACATGGTTTTCAACATGGAAGAATGTTTTTATAGATTGTTTTTTATAGATGAAAAGTGAAATTATACTTTTAATTTTATTTTTCCCGGCAATATTTTTCGCAATTAAATTAAAGTGAATAATACAAAAAATGGAATCGTGATTACCCCAATAAGATGCGGAATAAGGGATTAACGGGAAAGAATCTTTAATAATAAATATATGGGACTCGGAATGTACCTAAAAATTAAATAATTTTCATTCCCTGATATCTTTTTCTGTTTAATACGCACTTTAATTTAATTAATTTTATCAGATTTCTTTCTTCTATATTGATTTGGGGGCTAAGATTATGCTTCCATAATAATTTTCGTTAAGTCAAATGAAATTTTAATAAACATATTCAAAAATTACAAACGCAGGCCTTCGCTGATTATGTGAGTCACGGCCCTGAAGTGTACCACGAGGAGGCTGCAGCGATAAGATTTTACACCCCTTTGTTTTTTGTTTTAAATGTAAAAATATTATGAAAGTATAACCTTAGTTCCCAAGTCAATGTAGAAGAAAGAAATAAAACAATAAAACAAACTAAATTAAGATACGTATTAAACAGAGTGCATCGGGAGGATTGAAAATTACTTAATTTTTATATAAATTTAAGTACATAAAATTTGTATTCCTCGACATCGAAAGCATTAGTGACTTTTTAAATTCAATAATGCATTTTTAGCAAAGAAATAAAGCGGGTTCTTTCTGATGCAAGAATGCGCAATAGCGCGCGCGTGCCACTTATAGGACGGATACTGGCGTGCACTATTGCGCGCTATTCAAATAGTTAAGAGCCCGTTCTCTTTCTGTATACGTGGCGGAATCACCAACAGAACCTATTAAATATAATTCTTCTAATATGTTTTTAAATCCCTATATGCTTTTTTATCCTGATTAGTTAATTAAATGCTATCCATTGAGTAGGGTTTTTGAACGCAGCCTAGCGAATTCGATCACCCGCACTATACCGGATTAATGCATTCTAAAGGCCGCTATATCTAAAATATCCAAATACAATTGCATAACGTGAGCACTTTGATAATCAAATAATAAATGTATATTCTGCTAAATAATGTGATAGTGATTACGTTTACACGGCAACGTTAATCCGGTTTAGTAACAACCGTAATTAATGAACTCTTGGTATATCCTTTTAGATATACAAATGTATTCCAATTAAATGCAAGAATTCGCCAACTACGGTAGTTACTAAACCGGATTAACATTGCCGCGCAAACGTAGCCAATATTACTACTAAGTGTTTAATCGTTCAAAATGTTTCTATGCCTTTCTTATTTAAATAATCATACTTCATGTATAGCAGCCTCAGCGTGCATCAATTCGGTAATGCAGGTGCTCGAATTCTCTATGGCTGTGTTCGATTTTGCAAATCAGAGGCATCGGTTTGCTCTGGTTGCTGCAGGAAAGTCGCTTCTCTGACTAGATTGTTTTAAGCCTGTATCAGACTACGAATTGGAGATTGAGATTGAAATTTGACCAATCAGCACAAAGTTCACTAAATTTTACTAAACTCGAATTCAGTTTACTTTGTACTGATTGGCTAAATTCAAACTCAATCTCAATACCCAATCCGTAATCTAATACGGGTTTTAAGATAATCTTAAGCCAGCGGCGATGCTTGTTTTCGTGCTGGATTGCTTGCTGAATAGAAATACCAGATAGAAATACTGGATAGAAATACGTTCTGATTGATGCATTTCCAAAAAACGGATGACAATACGTCAATCAAAACGCAGTATTTCCGTCCAGCAAACAATCCAGCGCGAAAACAAACATCGTGTGCCGCTGATTTTAGAGCGAGACAAAATATACTTGTCTCACTCTAACTTGTTGCAGTTCAGCTACGCAGCTAAAAAGAACAGATATGTCTTTTACATGTTTTCGAAAATAAGGGTCCAACAAAGAAAATGATTCTAGAGGCCACTGCCATCTGTCTTGTTAAACGGTGGAGAGGGGAGACTCTATCCACCAGTTTCCAATTGTCATCCGTCGTGTTAGGACTGTAAGGTATTCTAGTCACAGATAACGGGTAGGATCCATTTCACGTTGCAAATGTTTCGAAGTGCTGTATAGATCAATCATATTTCTTCTTAAAGCGCTCTCAACGTTTGCGGTTTTAAGTGAATCGTGTTCAGAACGAAATGTTTTCAGAAAGCAATTGTTGAGTGATTATCCTCCTTGATCGAGCTATTTTTTTAGATCCGTGATAAATCTTAAAGAATTATTTGAGTGGCAGTGAGCGCACATTCAATTCATTCATTGTTGTTTCCTGAATGCAGCCAATAATAACTGTCAAAAAAGCGTTCATTGAGCTTCTCCGTTGAACATATCCAGTGTTTATCGTTTGTGTCTCAGCTGCGCTCACATTTTGTACCTACGAAGTGAAATAAATATATACGGAGGTAAAGATATAAAGAATCTCTATTTCTTTGTTCTTAATTTCTCGCATCTTTTCTCTCCCTATTTGATTATATATGTATTTCAGAGGAAAATCACAACTATGGCGTCACACGAATAATTTTCGAAGCTGTTTCAAGCGTTGAGCACAATGGTAAGTGTTAGAAATTATTTCGATTTTTAATTTTGTGTTATAAACAAAAATAAAATAATACGATAGACCGTAAATACACGTGCACGTATGCACGCATGTTCGCACGTTAGGTTAGGTTTCACCGAGTGTGGGTTATTTAAAATATGTGAAATCAAAATGAACTTAATTAACTTGATATAACTATTTGTGTTTAATATATTACATGTTATCAACGAAGTTACTTAATATTTGTTACAAAATGAACTAAACTCATTGACATCGATATTACTTAAAACCATAGAGTAAGATTAAATAAGGTTAGAATTAAGTAAATCTTGAAAGAGGCCATCATGAATCCTTTCGTCTAGCGTGAACAGTTTCAAGTTGGAAAATTTTCATTTTTTGCGAATTCACGCCAGAGGAAAAGATTCACGATCGATTCCAAGACGCAATCGAATCATAATTAAACAATATTTATCATAATTATAATTTAGATTTACCAAAATCCCGAGAAGTCTCGTTACATTTACTAATTTTTTTATACGACAATTGCACATTGTATTTAATTTTATTCTCGTATTATATATTAAATATAACTTCGTTAATGATACATACGATGCATCGAAAAAATAACGATGTCGTTATCTTCCGTCGTACAATTGCGCTGTGTAATTTTTATTACGAAAACTCGAATAAAACAATAAGAATTGTGCTTTCGCACACGGGTGTGTTTGCGCGCCAATAGCTGCTCCGTTCTTTCTTTCCCACCTATACCCTAATGCGCATGAGCACTGTGATATACGAGCTGCGGCGGCCATGGCCGATAGCGACTCGTGGCCATGTTCAGCCACGCATTTTCTTATTTCCGATTTTCCCGTCTCACCTCATCGTATCCGAATGAATTTAAGTCGATTACCTGTGACTTCCTCTGACGTTTTCCGCGAACTTCTTCCACCGGAATGGCTACGTAGCGATACCCGATGTTCTCGGGTCAGCTATCGGCTGGTGTTTGACTGGTCAACAACTACCAACGACTGCTCACTTTTCAGTTCATGATCAGCGAAGGAGAGTTGGATAGATTGAACGCGCATGCGCGGCGAAAAAGAGGGTTCCAGCAAATGCCGTTTCCTAAGCTGCGTTCAGAAACATCATCCTGAGGATAGAGTAGCGTTTACTTAACCAATCATGACAAAGAAATCTTATTTCTTTTTGTCCCGATTAGTGAATTAAATGTTACTTTACTCGCCGAGTGATGTTTCTAAACGCAGTCCTGGCGTAAAGTACGTAGCAAGGCTGGCGTCCATGGACGTTGGCGTCCCATGGCACGTATCTTCTGCGTAATGCTTATCGTACCAACGACGTAATAACATATCGTAACCTATCACATTTCTATTTGAAAAGCCCAACAAAAACGCTAAACGTCGCTATTTGTTGCTTATTTAGTTACGTGGAAAGTGTATGTCATGTTAGGGACTTCATCCTGAGACGTCTCAAAGACGTCTCAAGGATGTCCTTTAGCAGACGTCTTCTCCAAGGAACAACGACGGTCGATTATTCTTCTAATAAACGACTTGTGATTGGTCAATTTGCTTACTGCTTACGTCTTGAAACAAGCTTGCGGACAGAGGATTATTGTATAAAAGACGTCTTTATGATGTCTTAATTATCTTATTTGGAAGACTAATTGACTAATTGAATTTTTACAATCCAAGGATAATCGATTATGGGTAATTAATTAGTTCACTGTCAATGTTATTGAGTCGAGGGATTTAATGCAGCTTGTATCTGCGTCTTCCCATATTTTAATTCGGTGAAATCATGTTTGCTCATGAAACTATTTTTGGAATCTGTTTTGCGAGCGTATCTAATCTTACAGAGTCGGATGTTGCAATTAAGGCCCTAAATTTATAATAAATGAAAATACGGACTTGAGCTGCACTCCGAATGCTGCGAATAATATACGATTTGGAATGCAACACGAATTCGTATTTTCATTTATTATAAATTTCTTGGGCCTTAATTGCAAAATCCGATTCTATATAGGGTTAGGTACGTTCGCAAAAAAGACTCTAACAAATAGTCCGATGAGCAAATACGATTTATCCGAGTTAAAATATGGAAAGACGCAGATATGGAAAATGTAGTCTAACTGCGGTATTTTTCTATAATCGATATTTGCCTCCTGCCACGAGCTTTAAAGCGTCATATAATTCTTGTTTCGTTGGAAACAACGTTTCTCTTTTCCCGAAAGAAATTTTCATGTTTCAAATATATAATAACCGCATATAATCATTTTTCTGTCTTTTTTTTTTATAAAATTTATTAATAATTTATTTTATTTTTTAATCATTTATTATTGTGTCAGAGAGAATTAAAAGATGTTTTCCCTAAATGTGTATGAGCAAATTCGAACATGATTCTTAATCATGTGTAAATTAAGAAACTTTTGCATGTGCTGGAACTAATTGAATTCATAAGGTTTAGAATCTGTTCAGAGTGCTTTTTCAAGCGAATCTCTAATTACATCATATAAAGTTAAAACAAGAGCGCCGCCGGTACCGCGGAGAATATTCGAGAATGCACCCTTAAAGAAAGCTCCAGGTCCTTCGTTTTTTGTTATTTTGACCCAACAATCGAGCGTATTTTTATACAATATGTCAGTTTTACTTCGTCCCGATTGCATCATCATTCGCCTTCTGACTGTATCGAAAGGATAAGATACAATTCCAGCCAATGCTGTTACTACCTATAAAGTAATAAGATACAGAATATTTCAAAGATGAAGTAAAAAATTGTAATTGTAATTGTAAAAAAACTGTAAATTGTAATTCTATGTAAAAATATAATACTTATTGTAACATTTTTCATTCTATAACATTAAATTTTACCGCATGAAATTTATCTTTGCCGATGTATCTTTCATGTACTCGAGAAAAAATTTTTTACATATAATTATATACAGAATATGTGCGTGCGTGCGTGCGTGCGTGCGTGCGTGCGTGCGTGTGTGTGTGTGTGTGTGTGTGTGTGTGTGTGTGTGTGTGTGTGTGTGTTTTGTAAATATATAATTATATATTTTACACACACACACACACACACACACACACACACACACACACANACACACACACACACACACATATTATTTATTTATTTATTTATATCTGATTATGTGCGGAAAATTTTTTCCCAGGTATTTAAAAGGATAACAAAAAATGGAAAATATATACCTGAGCGATTGAAAAATTCACATACAATGGTGTATTTTTTGGATCGGGTAGCATATTCTTCATAGTATCGTAACATCCGAAATATGTTGCACGATATATAATGATCCCTTGCACGCTGACAATGAAACCGCGATACAGCCCAAAAAACCCATCAGATTTAACAATTTTCATTATACAGTCGTTCATGCCTTTAAATTCTCGTTTTTCGCCTTTTCCGACATCAGCGGCCAATCTAAAAGACCAGATTGTTGTCTTGTGTAAATAATATCCCAAAATGTATCAAACCTAATATATATTATATATATATGTATATATATATATATATATANTATTATTATTACTATTATATTATGTTATATATCACAAGTTTCGATATACCTGGTGCGAGCAAAATCAAGGGGATATACAAACAAGAGTGATGTTGCACCAGCCGCACCACCGGACGCTAAATTTCCAGCAAATTGTCTCCAAAATGCATCCTTCGGCACACCGCCCAAGAACACGGTTTTAAATTTGTCTTTAAACGCAAAATTGAGCGCTTGAGTTGGAAAGTATCGAATAACATTGGCGAGATTGCCTCTCCAGAAACTGAGGAATCCGGTTTCCTTAGGTATACGAACGAACGCGTCTAGCATACCTGATAAGGTTTTAACGCAAATATTAATTCGATAAAAAATCAACCGATTAATTTGTTATATTTGACATGTCCGTTACGATCATACCTTTGTACCGTTCTTCAGGTTTTATCTGTTTAGAAACATGTTGCACTTGTAGTAATAATTTCACTCTTTCCAGAGGAGCAACCGCGGTTTTCGAGACCGCTGCAGATATACCTCCCGCTAAGAAATCTACCAAGAAAGATTTGTATGCGTCCATTTTCCAGCTTCTGCATAAATGGATGAGCGCTCCGAGGAGGTAACAAACTCACGCAATTAGAATTGAAAACACACGGTTTTCGCACATTTTTTTAATTGCCACTTATACTATGTACTTGTACTATGTATATCAAAAAATTAGACATTTCTACGCTAACATCCGACGAAAAAAAAAGAACAAAGTTCAACACGGCTTATTATCAGCGCTGCCATCCACTCAAACCAGTTTTTGTTACTTTTTCTTGACAAGTCACTAAAAAATTCACTATCATTCAAAATGAGTCACTATAATCACTTTTTTTCTGTCATTAAATTGTAAAATATTTGGACGTTCTATATATATATTTCCGTCGTTTCTGTTAATAAAACTGCTTCGAATACTGAAAACGTATTTATGTTATATTATTTATGGCCTTGGTTTTTCCCTGTTATAAACTTTCAAACCATATTATGAAAATAACTCTCTATATATCAAGTTATCCAAAAATAAACCGGAGAAGGTAAAAATAATGCCCGTTTCTCCTATCATGGTTTAAATCTAATCGATGATTAACTCAACGGAATTGATCAATTGCATTGATCAGTTCAGCTAATTGGCTAATTCGATTGGTCAATTATGTTAAGTTAATCGTCGATTAGATTTAAACAATGATAGAAACGGGCGTAAGTGTTATTTTTTGCTTAAATGATCTCAGTTACTTTCAGAATTTGACAAAAAAAGTCACTTTTGCTCACGATTTTGATGTCTGAGAGATCATTTTTGTTACCTTTTCTACCAAAAAGCAGTCACTATTTTACTTTCTTGTTCTGGTGACTAAATGGCAACGCTGCCTACTATATACTCATTTGTTTTATCATCAAAACGCTCGAGATGTAGTTGTAACATTTATTTTGTATTATTGCTTTTACATAAAATTGCATATATATAATTTGTTTAAAGCTTTATTGGTCGCATATAAACTTACGTAGTCAGAGGCTTATTCGAAGGGTTACGATTCTATGATTCATACAAATAAATAGATCTCACTTGATCTTCTATCTACACGAGTAAAATATATATTCTTATTTGTCTCATATTTTATAGAGATACAGAAAATAGAACACTCGCGTAAAATCGCGTGTATCTCATTTATATATCTCAAGGGTCTTAGAAAAGATCTCTCCACATTGAATAAACGATATTAAATAAATGTTAGGAAACATGAATGTTTTTATATCTAAATACTTATTTAGTAATTATATTTGGAAGGTACACGTAGAAGTAGAATATTTGGAGAAATGGCATTCGGCACATATTGGTATAGAAGTAGTGTAGATAAATGTGGACCATTACAGTCGATTCTTCAGAGATCTGACAGAATGCACATATATATAATTTTTCTTTATTAACAGATATACGTCAAATTAATAAAATAGACTAGCATGTTACCTAAAGTTAGTTAAAATATGCTAAATAATTAGTAAAATGTTAGTCAAAAAATAGTATAAAAATAATATCACTAATAAATTGCTAACGTCGCATCACACATTTACTGCCCGAATAAGAATTAATGGAATGAACAAATAATAATAATAAATTTCTTACGCGAGTATGTCCCTTAAAAATTGTAATAAATTAGACAATTTAAAGTGATATTGACTTCCGGGGCTGAGAATAGTAACTCAATTCGAGATTATTGTTGCCTTACATACGTATGAGATACGTGTGTGATATAAATGCTATGATGTGTTATGAGGCAGCAAAAGTGTCGATTGAATTTCCTTTCTAATGTAAGAATTTCAATGCTTGACCCTTATTACAAGACAAAATATCTGAAGTAAATGTATATATATCAAAGATCCATTGAATATTTTTTGTAAGTGTGTACATTGAAGTACAACGTGTAATTAGGAAATAATTGAATCCTTTATATTGCACATTTACGCCGCATGAACCGACTGAAAGAGAACATTAACGACAAGTTAATATAATTAATAATAATTATCATTATATCATTAATTTAATTAACGGTAAATATTGCAGATTATTTATCAAAAATATCACACAAGTTCTGTTCCACGTACCTTTGCAATGTCCACGCCTGTTAAGTTCTTTACGAGTTCCGGGACACGTTGTACGATATTGAAAACTTCTTCGGTTAATTTTTCCGCACCGACGGTGCCGTTGCCACTCGATACCATCGTTATTTTTTTCGCTTGAGAAAGAGGGGCGGCGACTTCGGCAGCAACCTACAAAGCAAATCGCGCATAATCAGAATATTCCAGATTATTCTAGCATTCTTAAATATATTCTGAATATCGTAAAGGTTCAAAGTACCTTTGGAAGTGTGTCAAGCATCATATCTATCATAGCCGCGCTCTTATATTCGTTCCATGCGGCAGCTTTCTTTGCCATTTGCTCCGCTTCTGCCTTAGCTTTTGCTTCGATGGCGAAAGCCTCTGCTTCGCCGCGAATTTTAATAGCTTCAGCTTCAGCTTCGGCTTCCATGACCAAGCGTAATTTATTTGCTTCAGCCATTTTCTCTAACCTGAAACCAGATTGTTAAGTATTAGGAAGGATCGATTTTGAATCTATTTGAAGAATTTATATTAAAATTGAGGTCGTGGACTGTACATGGGGTATTCTATATTGTACGAGGTATAATATATTTTGAATAATTTGTATCAATATTCTTTTGAGACATACTATTTTTATTTTTAAATAGATTTTTTAAATAAACAGACCAATAAGAATCAAGCACAGTAGCTGGTGCAAATACATTTATTAAACTTTTATAGAGGAACAAATCCCAGTTTATAATAGATGTTTTAAGTCTTAAATCTTAAGAAATTGACCAAACATAGTCGATTATTCTCCTCACATTCGATAGTGATTGGTTAATGTTTTAAGATTTAAAACACTTATTGTAGACCGGGACTAATATACTTAACAATGAGTCCTATTACATGGCAACTTTAATCCGGTTTAATAACAATCATAGCGAGCTCTTGCATCCGATTGATATATTCTTTTAATTCTAGGAAAATATGTTCTAATTAAATGCAAAAACTCATTAAAGAGCTTTGCACATAAGAAATTTTTAGTCGTAACCGTAAAGCTGTGAAAAAATTGACCAATCACAGTTGATTACTCCCTTTGCAATCGAAGAATAATCGACTGCGATTGGTCAATTTTCTTACGGATTTACGACCAAAAATTTACGTGCAAAAGTCTTAATAGTCATTACTGAACCGGATTAACGTTGCCGTGTAACAGGACTCAGTATCGCGTCGACTTGTCAAACTTTTTCAAATACAAAAGGGAATCTCCCTTCCATGTTAAATCGACCCTTTATCAATTATTAATATTAACAATTCCCAAATTTTCACACAAACTATCAATTAATTCTGCATTAATTAATTCTCTTGAATGTTGTATTCTTCGATTTTTCCAGCTGTTCTCTCAGATTTAAAAAAGTATACCTGTACTTCTCTGCATCAGCAGGGCGACGTACGGTCGCATCTAATTCTCTCTCACGTCTTAGCATTTCCTGTTCCTGTACAGCGATTTCTTGGCTGCGTTCTACCACTTTCACCTGCATCTGTTCCTCCATGATCCTTTGCTTGGTTTTCGCTGCTTGCAGTTCAAAGGCCATTTCTGCCTCAGCTTTCTACAATCGACGTCTTTATATATGAAGCTACTTGCAAAACGAACCGCAACAAGGTAGAAATGCCTGCTCACTTTAGTTTGGACTTCGACGTCGTAAGCAGCTTTTTTCAATTCGAAGTCACGTTGCGCTTTCGCGATCTCCGTGTCGTTCAAGAAGCGTGCAGCCATCCTTTGTTCCTCGGCAATGGCTTCTCTGATTTGCGCATCTCTACGAGCCTCGGCCTCACCTATCCTAGCGTCTCTCTTTACCTCAGCTGTACGTGCCATACCAAGCGCTTGCAAATAGCCCTACAAATAATATGTTCTCTCGTGAAATTACTACAACAAAAATGATCTGTGCCAAAAACACAATAGAATGTAACATTAATTTCAGCGGTTGAGTAAGCCTGAGTGACATAAAGGCGAACATATATGTAAGTACATACGATGTATACTTAGTAAATAAAGTATTGCGAGTGTGTATAATTGTGCTATTTGCAAAAAGCGTTGAAAATATATCATAAAAATTTTTTTCTTTTCTGGTACTTAGAGAATTTGCGGTAATAATAACATCAGAAGAGATAGCAGTGTGCTGAGAGACATTAGGTAGTAGTATAGTGAAACAAAATTTGAACGTACCTTTGCCCCCTGCAAGTAGCAAAACAAAAAGGTATTCAATATTTAAAATGTACTCTACGTATGTAGATCTAGCTACATCAACTCATAACTTATATAAATCTAATAACAAATATGATATTTAATCGTTTAAAGGGGGTCTTCTGAATATATTATTTTGCATTTGTATGTTGTGGCAACCCTTACCATGTGTACATTAATAATGTACTCGGGTATAACGCATCTTCACTAATCAATTATGATTTGCAGATACATATGATTGTACGTTAAGTTTGCGCACATATTGATATTATATTTCCAAATAAAAAATTCTGAATATTTATACTTGGGTTATATACTTTTGTAATTTACAGTTGTGTGTCTTTTGATTTTAATAACTCGTTTTCATAATAACGCCGTACTTACTTCCTCGTCACGAATATCTTTCAATGTGTACGACACGACAGTAATGCCCATATTAACTAGATCGCTGCTTGCAACTTCAAAGACCTCTTTACTAAATTTCTTACGATCTTTATAAATCTCCTGCAATAAAAGAATCAAATGAAGTCCAGTTTCCAACTAGTTTTTGATAATTAAGATAATTTAACTGCCTAGCTATATATGTTTGTCGATGGAAATTTGATGGAAGGAAATACTGCAATTTCTTATGCAATTAATTATGCTGCTGTAAAGATATATGTTTACCTCTACTGTCATACTGCCCATTATAGCTCGTTGATGTCCTTCTAAAGTAACAAGGGCTATGTTATGTATTTCTTCTTCAGATTTCCCAAGGAATTGTTCACATGCGGTAGAAAGCATTTCTTCATTTTGTCCTTGAATTTTTACCTAATGTAGACACAATATATAAGTGATGACGAGATACTTATTGACATTACTCTCTAAAATATTTTGTGTAATCTTTCATCACATATATATTTATTTATATACCGATAATAAATAACTAATTTATATTATTACCTTTCTAAGTAAGATTATAAGTCTAATCCATATTACATATATACATTGTAATATTATTGTATATATTCCAAATAGCACAACATCGCATGGAATATGTTCAGGATGTTCTGAGAAGTGTCTTAAGATATCCTGAACATATCCAGGATGGTTTTAGACTGTTTTGTATCCAACCAGGATGTAACAGAGCTATTAGATATATAACATGTATATATCGTATGAAATATAAAAGATAACTTTTTAATTACCTGTGCTATACCTGTGACAGATATTGGTACTCCTTGACAGGTATATACCGTTGGACTTTCGACTTGTAAAGTCATTGTGTTCAAAGAAATTCTATAAAAATAAAACATACATGACATCCATCAATCTGTACCATCCATCGACTAATAACTCTTATATAATGCTTACTTTTGTACTTGTTGCACAATAGGCCACACAAATACCCGGCCTCCAGGTACTAAAAGTGGTTTGCTGTAACAGCATCCTTGGGAAAAAAGTTTATATAAAATAGTGTGCAAGTATGAATGTAAAATAGCTGGAGAAGTTGTATGAATACAACAGAATGAGATTAATAATAATAAGAAATACTTGTGAATGAAGAAAATTTGTGTGAATGGTAAATAAGTTATATATATTTCATGTAAGCAATGAACATAATATCTGATTATATATTTCGGCAGTAGCAGATATTATCAGAATGATCTAATAATAGGTGCGGCTCTTCCTTATTGATTTAACATGTTTCTAGTTCCCCACCACGGTGTTTCATCAAATCAATTATCTGACAAGCAAGAACGCTCCTCCCATTTTTTTTACGATGATTAAATCGGCACGCGAACATACCGAAAGAAACAAAATATTGCACGAGGTGCTGTTTTTTGTTTGATTACCTGAAACGACCAGAGCTTCGTTCGGGCCGCAAGTAACGAAACCACAACTCATGATTACGCGTCAATCTGAAGACGACGGCGAACGTAATCCCGGGACAAACGATTTGATGTCGATATCGCCGACACTACAATTATTTCATGTATCATAGGATCATACGTATCAGATAACTTACGGTGGGTTTACACTACGTTCCTTGGACACACGACGTTTCTATATCCAATAGGAGAATATGTCTTCTAGGGACCCTACGATCTATAATAATTTCGCAATGCGCGGCTCTATTCATTTTGATTGGCCGGGTTTTGTATTTTGTACTCGATCTCAGCAATAGAAGCGATTTTAGCTCCCACATTAACCTCTTCTGCTGCAACTTTGCTTAAATATTGTTTTTATATTATTAGAGAAATATGGGTAGTGATGAAGAAACGTCCAAAAATATCCAGTTTAAAAAGAGAAATAGAAAACCATTAAGGAAACGTGAAGTTCTCTCAGATGATGATGACAGCGAGAATGAGAAAACATCACTTAGGTATATATATATTAGACGTATCTCTTTATTGGAAAAGTATTATTAATCATTTATGGTGCATACGATTGTAAGGAGAATTATTTTAGAGAGAAGGTCGAAGAAATGAAAATCGTTCAAAAACTTCGTGAAAGGCCGACAGGTATCAATGTTGTTGGCTTAGCTCTTGGAGAAAATGTTGCATCCGATGTAATAATGGTAAGATGTCTAGTACGATTAGAATGTAGAAAATAATGTGAAAAAAATATGACAACACGTGGTTTATTTAGTCAGATCCATTTAACATGAAAACTGGAGGGATGGTAAATATGGCTGTGTTAAAGAATACAAAACATAGACCAAATGATGCTTACGACACTGGTATCGGAACACAATTTAATGCAGAAACCAATAAACGTGACGAAGATGAGGAAATGTATGTGTATAAATATAAATATACTTTTGTATTACTTATTGCTGTCACTTGATAAAAAAGAATACATGTATTACAAAATAATATAGATATTAATCTTTTTTAGGGTCAAATATATAGAAGAAGAGTTATCAAAACGTAAAAGCAAGAATAATAATGACGTAGTTAATGGTACAAATAATGAAAAAGGTTCATATTGTTCGCCTGAAGAGGCAGCATTAC